CTCTCTCTCTCTCTCACACACACACACACACACACACACACACACACTCTCTCTCTCTCTCTCTCTCTCTCTTTCTCACACACACACACACACACAAAACACTTGTAGATGCATATATTTTTTTTAAGTGTGGTTTACAGAATTTTTCATTACTGATGTTTTTATGGTTATAGATTACAATAGTGATTTTTTAAATACCTGTGTACTCGTATGTATGCGTTTTTTAAGTGTTTTAAAGCATATGAAGATCTAGTGAAGTTTTACAAACCTAACCCACACACCCAAACACACTCTCTCTCTCTCTCTCTTTCTCACACACACACACACACACACACACACAAAACACTTGTAGATGCATATATTTTTTTTAAGTGTGGTTTACAGAATTTTTCATTACTGATGTTTTTATGGTTATAGATTACAATAGGGATTTTTTAAATACCTGTGTACTCGTATGTATGCGTTTTTTTAAGTGTTTTAAAGCATATGAAGATCTAGTGAAGTTTTACAAACCTAGTGAGCTGCTCGTAACTCATGATACACTGGCGCGGTACCCTTTCAAGAAAACACTAATACACTTTAGGTAGCCTACTGACATGTAGGCTACTTTTAAAGTACTGATATGCACCTTTAAGGTACTAATATGTAGGAGTACATAAGATACAAAGATGTACCTTTTAGCTTTATGGGAGCCGCCCCAATGACAGCATTGTACCATTTTTGAGAGTGTAGAATGTTTATAGTGTTGTGAGACCACTAAACTGAACTGGATTTGTTTGGTTTTTGTCTTAAATCCAGCTCTATAAGCAAGTTTGTTCTACTTGCTTAAGACAGGCCTCTGAATGAGGCCTCAATATTCGGAAAAGTGATGGATCAGTATGAAAATGCTTATAAAAAGTACGCCAAATAAAAACGAAAACTCGTGGTATTGGTACGCAAAAATGGACTTTGGCGTGCGTATGATACGCATGTGTTTGGCGTGCATATAACACGCACTTTTTGCGTGCATATGATACGAAATTTGTTGGCGTGCATATGATACGCATCTACCCCACAACCCTAAACCTACCCACCGTGTAGCATATACACGCCAAAGTCCATTTTTGCGTATCAATACCACGAGTTTTCGTTTTTATTTGGCGTACTATTTATACGCACTTTCATGAGACCGGGTTACGGATTATTGAGAAACTTGTGCATTTTGTAACCCCCAAATCTTTTGGTTGCATCCTTACCTTGATCTCGCACCGGTTTCTTTTGAAAAGTGGTGCAGATCTTTAGCTTCTGAACACATCTCACCACTCAGGTTTCCACAGTAAGGTATCACGGGCGTGAAATAAGTAAAGAGGGCTCCACGCAAAGCTCAGAGGCGTCTGCTGAAAGGAAAATCAGGAGAAGAGTGTGTGGCTTGTGATGTGCACGAGCGTTTGAATGAACACGGCCAGCCGCTCTCCTCATGTGCGCAGTCTCTGAGACTGACCTCACTCGGATAGTCCGCATTGTTTGCTTCAGAAGTGGGCGGCTGTTATCAGGTAAGAATACTCGAAATAACATTTTCCTCACTTGGGTCTATTTCAAACATGTTTATTAATACAATGCATGCAAAAAGCATCATTTTCTAATCGACAAACGTGATGGATTCTGTGGATAACGCACTCAAACCTGATGAGTCTTGCCATTTATTTAATACAGAAAAGAGTGCATGGATAAAAAAGGAATGGTGTCTTTTGATTTTACATCAGATGAGGTGATAATGGAGCTATATTAAGTCAGTACGAATGCATTCTGCCCTCAGTCATCCATAACCAGGCTATATCGACATGATGGCTCAACAATGGTTGCTGTAAAAATCTGAATCTATGTGAGCTTTGGGTGAAGAATATCTATCGATGGTCGCATTCGAGTTTGCTGTAGGACTGAAAGAACCATCACGCTGTTGTCTTCTAGAAGATAAGAGGAAGGTGTGTCATCTCAATGCGGGTTTTGCTTCTGCTTCACGTTGAGAGAGGCAAGGTGCGTTCAGCTCTGATGGAAATAAAGCCCAGATCGCGAGCGCTTCTTCTTCTGCTTTGTGCATTTTAGAGTAATTCATACTAGAATACAACATCGTTTTTTTTGTGTGTGCAATGGGTGTAAATGACCATGCACTTGCTTTCAGGGGTATCCAAACTAGTGTTTTCAGTAGAGATATGACCTAGTTCTCCTGCTTCTGCTTGCTCGCGGGTGGAGTTTTGGAATGGGTTTCTCTGTATCGGTTTTTATGTCAGAGAATGATATTTGATGTATTTTCCTCGCAGTAAAAATTTTTGCAGGAAATTTACTAAGGCGTGGATTCTTGCAGTCAAATGACTTTACCCATTTGAATAATACTGAAGAGATTTGAAGGGATGTCCATCAATTTGACTGCTGTTGTTAATAGATGCAAGGCGTTTTCAGCAATTTACCCACGAAATAACCCTTATGCTTGTACATTTCAGGAAAAATAATTAGGTAATTATCTTGTATGTCACTATAGAGCAGTGATGTGCAAAGACATTGAATGAATGTGTAGCTAGCCTATAGATTTGTATTTATTGATTGATTGATTGTCTGCATACAGACTGTATATGCTACTTCTAGAGCAGACCCAGTACAGTTGTGGCTTTATGCTGTACTGTGTAATGGTCCTTGTGCTCTTGATTTGTTACATGGAGTTGTGTCCTCTGGACTTGGAGTTCTCCATCGCCCCAGAGCCCAGGTCCCAAGTCTTGTGGTCCTGGGAACCCCAATACTGGACGTCTTAAGTCCATTTAACAAAACAAAATGTGCTAAATTAGAAATTAGGCCAACATGTACTGTAAGTGAAGCATGCTGACACATACTCAGCTTTCAAATATCTTTGATTGTGGTGGCAGATATAGGCAACACTCTATAGTGATACATTGAGGAGGCAAATAAAAAACGTAATAACCCAAATAGGGTTTCTTTCAATATATTTGCAGGAATTGACACCATGCTCTTGGCAGAGCCCTCTAAAGAAGTAATAAATCAAATATTAATTTCTCCATATGAAAATTGATTAAAGCTTTAGTATTCGACATTTTCAGCTTCCATTACAATACTACCCAAACATACTTTATAAACCTACATTTTTTGTTAAATAAAACGTTTTTATTGATTGATTGATTTTTTAATTTTTTTTTGTGTGTGTGTGGTGTTAAAATGTAGGTTTTTATATACTATGACTAGCCACTATTATTTCAATGTCTTAGGTACTGGTCACTTTTCAGCTTTTAGCAGTTTAAAGGTGGCAAATTAATTGTTAAAAGCACATGCAGTGATTAATATGCATGCATGATACAAAAAATAAATAAATAAAAAAGAGAGAGAAACGGTGCTTGGAATTTCACATCACCTACACACATAACTATATATAAACCTTTATCTAGTGCAGCGAAATCAATGTAAACAGAAACTGGGACAGGACTAACTGAATAGACATTGCAATATCAGTGAAAGTCAGGGACAAAATAAACTATTACAAATTAAATCATTTAAAAAGGGCCTACACACAACAACTAAAAAATATATTCAAAAATGAGGAATGTATACACATATCTCTAATCTTTGGATAGGTTAATTTGGTTAGTTTGCATAATTGGCTCACATTTTCTATTTTTTTTATGTTGGCAATGTTTGAATTGGCTGCTTGCAATTACATGATACAAAAAATAAATAAATAAAAAAGACAGAGAAACGGTGCTTGGAATTTCACATCACCTACACACATAACTATATATAAACCTTTATCTAGTGCAGCGAAATCAATGTAAACAGAAACTGGGACAGGACTAACTGAATAGACATTGCAATATCAGTGAAAGTCAGGGACAAAATAAACTATTACAAATTAAATCATTTAAAAAGGGCCTACACACAACAACTAAAAAATATATTCAAAAATGAGGAATGTATACACATATCTCTAATCTTTGGATAGGTTAATTTGGTTAGTTTGCATAATTGGCTCACATTTTCTATTTTTTTTATGTTGGCAATGTTTGAATTGGAATATGCAATACATTTTTAGAAAACAGATAAGCCTAAAATAACCTTCTGCATTAAGAAGTGCTGTTTCTGCCGGCCAAATGTGCTTTCAACACAGTAACCGTCTCAAATAGTTCCTGCATTTCTGACTGCCGTGAGAATCTGTGGATAATATTACAGTGATAGAAACTCAATATCCACCACTGTACAGTGACATGAATAACTTAAGCTAAGGAGCATGCTTACTGTTTGTTTCACTGTTTGCTGCTTTGTTATGCTGTTGTTGTATTTGTCATCACCCATGGTTGTTTATTTATTAATTAATTATCATACAGTGTATTTTTGTATATTTGTAACTGTTACAGTGTCACCAAGTGGCCAAATCACACCAAATGAGTCTTGTGTCTACAGATTGAGACCTTGAGTAGATATACCAAATTGTGTTAAAATATCTCATTGTGTTCAAGAGTTATGGCCATTTAAATAAAAGCTGCCACACCTACACTGTAAAAAATGATTGTGATTTTAACAGTAAAAGACTGTAAAAATTCTACAGTAAAAACCTGTTAACTGGTTAACAGTACGTTTCCATACTATATGCAGTGAATAAATGTAATTACATTTAATGTAATTTTACAGTACAATACTGTTAAAAATACGGTTTTTGGAAGTGAAAAAGAAAAAGTAATTGAATAATTTACTGTGAAAAACGTAAATTGACACTCCCAGAATTCCCTGCATGACACTTCATATTTGATGTTTTTTTGTTGAAATAACATGTTTCTTCTTAGTTTTTTCTTATCAGTTGTGTACATTAGGGTTTAATCTTACATCTATGTTATTAAATTAATATTTATTGCATTATTTCAGTATCACGTGTGTCACCATGATGGTGTTTAGTGTTTGTATGAATGACACTGTGCACCTTCTATATATATATAAGTATTGCCCTCCTCAGCTCGTAGAACAGCTGTTTATCAGTGCATTACAATGGTTCAAAACAGATATTAACCCTTCAGTATGTTGGTTTATTAACATTACATCAGTTAATGAAATACGGTATTGTATTGTGAATTTAAGTTAAGCCTGTAAAACCTAAAATGTTGCTACCATATTTTTTACGGTGAAGTTCTGGCAACCACAGCGGCCGGTATTTTACCGTAAATGTCACAGATGTTTTTTTACAGTGTAGGCCTGTCGCAATAATCAATATATCGACTTATCGCACTACATGACCTCAGTCATTTTTGGAGACATACTATATTGCCCATTATATTTACATAAAAAGTTATGTCACCATGTTTTTTGCATTCCACTTGCGCCTGTGTCTTTTGCAGCTTCCCGTACATAACGTGGTGTAATCGGTGCCAGTTCAAATTTAAAAAATGCTTCTTCAAACAAAGTTTCATCTGCAGATATGGCCTTGTTTAGGGATCTGTGTCTTATCTGACTGCTGAGTAGTGATTGTGTTTCTCAGCAATACAGTGCACCCTTAATTTACAGAGAAAAGAAGGTCAGGGAAAAATCTGTAGATGGAAAAATCTCCATACGAGTTCTTTGTGCATTTTTCATTTTTGCTACTTGTTACTTTGCTGTAACAAGAAAATGTTTATTTACTATGTATTCAAGTTTTTTAATTTATCTAATATTTTGACTTAATGTCCATGATCTAAATATTCTTAAGAATCAAAAAGGTTGTTGTCATTTGGAAGTGTGTAGGCCTTCTTGCATAAATATGCTGTTAAATTATGATTATATATTCAGTGGCATAAAATGGTCTTAAAATGACAATAATATCGTTTATCACATTTATTTCTGGGGCAATATATGGCACAACAAAATCGTTATGGTGACAGGCCTAGCCACACAATTCAACAAGTATATGTAAATGTAAAAATAAAGGGAAAAAAATAAATAAAGGGGCAAAAAGTAATAAATTCAGGACTAAAAATTAATTGTATTTGTTTTATCAGGTCATACGTTTCTTTATTTATTTTCCTTTTATTTATTTATTTTGAATTTCTACAGGTTTGGGCCTCCATGTAACACTAACTAATCATTTTATTTATAGTAATTGATCTTGATGAAGTTGTTCGGGGTGAGTTGGTCTATTGTAAATTACTTTTGGTACAGATTTGAGTTACAGCCCAAAATGCATTAGTCTTCGTTGAAGTGCCCTCTTTTGGTGGTTAGGTGTAGCTCCAATACACCAATTTTAAGCCTCTAGGCTGAATATTTAATGCATCACCCTCATCACCCACATCTGATTCAACTCATCAGCAGACCTGAGCTGCGTTCTCAGGGTTCACAGGGTCGTTCACTGCTCACTGGGGATATCTGTTGACGTTCACTTCATTTAGCCATTTGGAGCGTCCTGAAACATCAGCAAACACAGGCACATATTTCAGTAGGCCTAAATAAATAGGAATTACCTTACGTTAATATATATGTATATATATATATATATATATAAAAGCCATTACACATCCATGCATCTTATATAAAAGATGTATTATAAATGTAATATATTTGTTACATTTGAAAGCTCTAAACTGAGTGATAAGTGCTGTTTTGTTATGTTAGATGCCAGTTTATGTAACCCATAATCATGATAGTTGCATTGCAACTATTGCACTTCACCTGTGAACAAGACAGTGATAAAAGAATGCATGCATTTCATAATCTTTTCTTTGATTGTATGTATTTTTATTGAATTTATTATAAAACACACAAGACGACTGCAACCAGCATATACCCTTGCTTCTTGTTAAAATGTTAATAAGCATGTTACAAAAATATATCGTTTGATTATATGATTAAGGCACAGTACAATTTGACATTTAATTACATGACTGTGACCAATTCATCTCAATTAAAAATATATTTTTTTATTTCAACATATTATATTATTTTATAATATACAATATATGTATAATATACAATATACAAATGTACAATATATTTTATTTTATTTTATTTTATTTGACCTTTTCTGAAACTTTTTGCTCTCTAGTGGTTGAAAAATAAAACTGCATAAAGATTGCTTTGGTCTGTGGGTTGTGTGTGCAATGTCCCGGCAGCTCGAAAACATATATGTGACCCTGGAGCACAAAAGCAGTGATAAGTCGCGGGGGGATATTTGTAGCAATAGCCAACAATACATTGTATGGGTCAAAATGATTGATTTTTCTTTTATGCCAAAAATCATTAGGATATTAAGTAAAGATCATGTTGCATGAAGATATTTTGTAAATGCCCTACTGTAAATATATCAAAACTTAATTTTCGATTAGTAATATGCATTGATAAAAACTTAATTTAGACAACTTTAAAGGTGATTTTCTCAATATTTAGATTTTTTTGCACCCTCAGATTTTCAAATAGTTGTATCTCGGCCAAATATCCTAACAAACCATACATCAATGGAAAGCTTATTTATTCAGTTTTCAGATGATGCATAAATCTCAATTTCCCAAAATTGACCCTTATGACTGGTTTTGTGGTCCAGGGTCATAAATCATTATTATAGGTTTAAGCAACGTATATGACTTGGAAATTAGATTTTTTTGCACTAATATATATTTGTTTCTTTGGGTTGCTATTTTATTTTTACCTTACTGTTATTCATGTTTGCTTCAGGTTCCAGTGATTTCACGATGACAGATGCGGTGATGGGCACGAAAGGTGTCCATGTGCAGTCTGGACCGTGTCTCGGTGCAGAGCTGACTGATGAAGAGAAGGAGGTCATCAACAGCGTCATCGTCCGCGCCGAAAAAATGGAGGCAATGGAGCAAGAGAGGATTGGGTAGGAGAGAGATTATGGATGTTTATCGATTGTCATCGCCGCCTTGACATACATTAAGGTTAAATAAAGCATGCATTTGAATATTTTCATGTGTGGCCAGCCTGAGAAAACTCAAAAGTTTGAAATATTTCATGATTGAAAGAAAACATTTATGTCTAGAGGGGATTGGGAAATTATTATTTTGTGAAATTAAAATGTCAGAATATGTGTGAAACAGTGTTCCATTGTCATTCAGTGTAACAGTGTATGTAAAAATAAAACAATATACTTATTCTGACCTGGTCTTATCGAAATATATGAAAGAAAAAGTGATCATATTAAATTGTATTATATTTAATATGTTATTATTATATTTTACTATATTTTAAATTTCTTGTTGACAAATGGTTAAAAAAAATAGTGGTTAGAAGGATAGTGGCAAAGATGGGTAAAGATTTAAAATGAATTATAATTTTGAGAGCTGCACTGATCCCTAAATAGAGTCTTTTAATGCCATCTAACGATTCTTCTACTTAATTTGCCTGGCAAGACTTTTTTTGTTTTTTTGTTAAATCCTGGTAAAAAATGTATGATAGTCATTATTTTTGGCTAAAAAAAAATCTAAAATTAAACAGGACACATTCATAGTGGTTAGAAGGATAGTGGCAAAGATGGGTAAAGATTTAAAATGAATTATAATTTTGAGAGCTGCACTGATCCCTAAATAGAGTCTTTTAATGCCATCTAACGATTCTTCTACTTAATTTGCCTGGCAAGACTTTTTTTGTTTTTTTGTTAAATCCTGGTAAAAAATGTATGATAGTCATTATTTTTGGCAAAAAAAAAATCTAAAATTAAACAGGACACATTATAATATATGTGACCCTGCAGCACAAAAGCAGTGTTAAGTCGCTGGGGGATATTTGTAGCAATAACCAACAATACATTGTATGAGTCAAAATTATTGATTTTTCTTTTATGCCAAAAATCATTAGGACATTAAGTAAAGATCATGTTCCATGAAGATATTTAGTAAATTTCCTACTGTAAATATATTAGAACTTAATTCTTGATTAGTAATATGCATTGCTAACAACTTCATTTGGACAACTTTAAAGGCGATTTTCTCAATATTTAGATTTTTTTTGCACCAAATATTTTCCTATCCTAATAAACCATACATCAATGGAAAGCTTATTTATTCAGCTTTCAGATGATGCATACACCTCAATTTCCAAAAATTGACCCTTATGACTGGTTTTGTGGTCCAGGGTTACATATGAAAAAAACAACAACAAACAAAATTAAAGGCTTGTTAAACTTTTATTGTGTTAATGCTTGAAAAACCTTTTCCATCTTTGATCCATGTATATATATATATGGATCAAAGATGGAAAAGGTTTTACCATAGTGTCAATATAAGTGGAGGGCACTGCATTTGTTAACATAATGACCAATGTGCACTCTGTTTTATTGATGATAGACGTCTGGTGAATCGTCTGGACAACATGAAAAAAGCCGTTTGTGGGGACGGAGTGTCGCTCTGCCTTTTATGTGGAGAGCAGCTGGGAGCCGGAGGGGACAGACCAGTGGTTTGTGAGGACTGTAAAAAGGTGCGAAACTAATCCAAATAAAATGAAACCTCATATTTAGAACATTTGAATTCTTGTGAGACTGCTATATATTTGGCACATGCACCAAAATCATGAATAAATAACTAACACAGTAAAAGGAATGCTGATGGAATTTGATTCTGAAACATTAAAGCACATCTTCAATAGTCAGCACCGCAGAAGCACTATTCATCCGACATGAAAGTGTGACAGCTGCTTAGTTCATTCCGCTCACTATTTCTAATACTGTTTCACTGTCTTTAATAACTACGTGCTGTTGTTCCCCTCAGAACATGTGCACCAAGTGTGGAGTGCAGGCGAACGCTCGGCCGCGGTCTGTGTGGCTCTGCAAGATCTGCAGTGAGCAGAGAGAGGTGGGGGAATAACAAGCATCGCAAGAACGTGATCTGGAGTCTAACTGTCTGTAAATGTTGCTTGCGTTATTTTTCTATTAAAGGTATGGAAGCGATCTGGAGCCTGGTTCTTCAAAGGTCTCCCTAAGCAGTTCTTGCCCTCACCGATGCCCATTTCCAGAGCCAGAGATCCCAGTCCTAAGAAGAGCCCTGCAGCTGCTCCAGCGGCTGTGCAAGCACCGGCGGCAGGTGAGCTGGACAAACTGTGATTTTAGCTTTTCCATCATCTACTGGTTACTGCCACATGTTACAACCCCAGAAAACTTAAAGGTGTTAGTTCACCCAAAAATGAAAAATTGCTGAAAATGTGCTCACCCTCCCGCCGTCCAAGATTAGGATGAGTTTGTTTCTTCATCAGATTTGGAGAAACGTAGCATTGCATCACTTGTTCACCAATGGGTGCTCTGCAGTGAATGGGTGCCGTCAGAATGAGAGTCCAAACAGCTGATAAAAACATCACAATAATCCACAAGTAATCCACACCACTCCAGTCCATCAGTTAACATCCTGAGAAGTCAAAATTTGTGTTTGTAAGAATAAGCAGTTCTTGCCCTCACCGATGCCCATTTCCAGAGCCAGAGATCCCAGTCCTAAGAAGAGCCCTGCAGCTCCTCCAGCGGCTGTGCAAGCACCGGCGGCAGGTGAGCTGGACAAACTGTGATTTTAGCTTTTCCATCATCTACTGGTTACTGCCACATGTTACAACCCCAGAAAACTTAAAGGAGTAGTTCACCCAAAAATGAAAAATTGCTGAAAATGTGCTCACCCTCCGGCCGTCCAAGATTAGGATGAGTTTGTTTCTTCATCAGATTTGGAGAAATGTAGCATTGCATCACTTGTTCACCAATGGGTGCTCTGCAGTGAATGGGTGCCGTCAGAATGAGAGTCCAAACAGCTGATAAAAACATCACAATAATCCACAAGTAATCCACACCGCTTCAGTCCATCAGTTAACATCCTGAGAAGTCAAAATTTGTGTTTGTAAGAAACAAATCCATCATTAATGCATAAAGTAACTGTCACTTCTGGCCAAAATATGAGTCTATAAACCATAATAACGCTTCCTCCAGAGGAAAAGTCCATCTCCTGTTGTCCTCTCACATCAAAATCCACCCGGTGCTTTATTTGTGCAGATTTCTTTCCTGATATGAGACGACTTTTTTGCTGAAGGAAGCATTATTATGAATAGAGGACTCTTATTTTAGCTGGAAGCAATGGTTTGAAGTTAAAACCATAGTAATGTAAATCTTTGGGTGAACTATGCATTTACTTATCACACTTTACTAGGACAGACATGCCACCAAGATTATTAAAATTCCCCCAAAAATGTATGGTTATAATACATGATGTAGGGATTACCATACAATGCTGTTTTCCCGAATATTTGCACAACTGCAAACATGACATTAATTTTATGCAACACATACATATAAAATATGTTAGTCAGCATATTAGAATGATTTCTGAAGGATTGTGAAGACTGGAGTAATGATGCTGAAAATTCAGCATTACATCACAGGAATAAATTACATTTCAATATATATATATCAATCGATAACACTTATTTTAAACTGCAATACAATTGCGCAATATTACTGTTTGTACTAATCAAATAAATGCAGCCTTGGTGAGCAGAAGAGACTTTATTTAAAACATCATAATTATTCCAAACGTTTGACTGGTAGTTTATAGCCTGTGTGTTTGTTGTATAAGCTCCAGAGCCGACAGTGGATCCACCGATCACACGAAAACCACCTGTGGCTCCAAAACCTGCTCACCTTCAATCTCGCAGTTACTCAGAGGAGGATGGAGACGCGGGAAGCTCCCAGAATACCCCAGTGCTGATGAAGAAGACGGTGAACGTCCAAGCGGCCAGACCAGTCCCATCAGGCACATTCCAGCCGGGTAACAACAAACATGCACATACACACAAATACATGCATTATTTCTTTATAGTATTGCATAGGAATGTGCTTCAAGCATGCAGTAGGTGCATTTCTTGTTTTGTGCAAGTCTCTTAAGTGGCCTAATTTTTTAATTAACATTATATTATATGCAACTACATGTTTAAGATTTGATGCACATACAATATAATTTAGGAGTATTTATTAATATAACAGAATCTAAAGAGATCTTTTGTTCCTATCAGCTGCTCAGGAGGCAGAGAGAGGAGCCTATCAATCCATTAGCACTGCGTCTCATGCGCAGGAGAGAGCCCATCCCGCAGAGAGAGAGGAGCAGAAGCCTGCTGTCGACCCTCGAGCTGCTCCGCCTGCGGACGACGAGGAGGAGGCCAACAGCTATGACTCAGATGAAGCAAGTAAGCAGCTTTTCATTGACGTCTTGTTCCTCTTTGTCTGTGACTAGCAGAAGCATGCTTTAAAAATGAGAATGCATCAATTCATTAAGAGACTCGCTGTCAGTTTTCTCATTGTTGGTGGAAAGAAGAGGCCTTTGTGTTGTTAACTACTGTAATCAGTACTGTGCGGTTCGCCTGTAGGTTTGATTCTATCCTCACATTAATCACTAAGGGTGTGTAGCACCAAAATAACTAAGCAGAGTTTAGAGTTAATGCCGAATTTGTTGATCTGAATTTTTTTTTAATGTTGATTGCATAAAATGCTGTGCAAGTCATTTGAGAAAATGTCACAGCACATTTTTTTTTTTAAATTGCTTTGTATATTTAAGTATGTATTTATTTATTACATTTTTTGTATACTTATTTAAGCATTTTTTTTACATTGTATATTTAATTATATATTTATGTATTTCATTTTTATTTACTTTTTTGTGTTTTAAGTATTTATTTTAGTGTTTTTAAACATTTCTTTGCGTAATTATGTATTTATTTTTGTTTTTTTAAATTTCTTTGTATATTTAATTATGCATATATTTTGTTTTGTTTACATGTCATTTTATACTTAATTATGCTTTCATTTATTTTATTTATAATTATGTTTATATTTATTTTTGTTTTGTTTACATTTCTTTGGATGATTGTGTATTTATTTATTTATTTAGATTTTTAACATTTCTTTGTATGTTTGTTTATTGTTAATTTCTATTTATATTTATATGTTTATTTACTAATTCTTTTTTGCAGATTTGGCATTCCACAGGCCTTCGCCTAAACAGACTGCTAACTATATGTCCTTAAACTGTGCTGTTTACAACATATTTAAACTATAAGTGTGGGTGATCACAAAAAATGCTATGTATGGTTGAAAGAATTTTTCCATGTTATAACTTGGATTTGGCAATGTCACTGTTGCGTTAAACTTGAAATACTTAAGTGTGTGTGTGTTTCAATTAAATGAAGTGCAACAGCGAGCAGCAACATCATTATTTATAGCATTCACTGAAATGTAGACCTGTTAGATTAGATTCTGCTACTCATGCTTTCAAACTTAATGAAATGCTTGTGCTTAATGCAATATATTGCATTTGTTTCAGCAACTCTGGGATCACTGGAGTTCACTTTACTGTATGACCAAGGGAACAACAGCCTCCACTGCAGCATTATTAGAGCGAAGGTATCTTAATATTAAAAGTCTTACACACAAATAAAAAGAAGCATACAAGTATTGTTAGACAATAATCTAATATCTTAGGAACATTATATTCTTGCCTGTTGTATTTGTGGGCTAACTATGTTGTAATATTATTGAGATATGCAATTATTACCATGCAACAGTTAGTCCTTGAATTTAATTTGGATGAGTGTTATTGTGCTGATATTTAGTTTAAGAGCCTAACACTCTTCATAGGCCATAATGACAATCAAAGTCAATTTGAATGTGCGTAGTTGTGCCTACTCTTAAATAAGCAGAATTTGAAATGTTATTTTAGCAATATTGCACTGTGCTTGAATGCTGTGTTGTGACAGAATTTTAAGTTATTGTAATATTTTCTTGAAGGGTTTGAAGCCGATGGATTCGAATGGACTGGCAGATCCTTACGTTAAGCTTCATCTGTTACCGGGTGCGAGCAAGGTGAGATTTAGTGCGCCGCTTGTACCGACGCAAGAGGCACTCAAATATTAATCATTTTAAACAATGCCTGTAATGTTTATTAAAGTAATAATTCAACACTTTTGTAATGGACCCTTTTGACAGACCGTGACGACGCATTTCCACACTTATTAAAATTGTAAATGTAGCAAAGATTTTTACATTTTGACTTCTAAATTATTTAATGCACATTTAATACACAATGTTTTGTGTTTTATTACCGTGGCACTAAATTACATAAAACTGGTTAACGCTGCTGCGTGAGTCTTTCAAATACAACTGCTGAGGGAGAGATGGCAAATTTGACATCTTTCTCTCTTCTTCTCATGTAATCAATCTCTGAATATTTTTGGATTTTGGCAATTCATAGAAACGTTTCTGTGGGTTTTCTCTTTTGCTATTGGGGCAAATGGAAAATGCAAATACAAATCATATTTGCTGCAGTTTCCATTCACCAGTATGCAAGTTTACCCAACTATGATGACGTGAAAATGTGAAAAGGGTCATATAGACTTTATTTTTTTTTTGCATTTTTGGTAGAAATTACTGCAAAGTTAAAGATTTTTTTTCTGGTATTCATTTTTTTTAATTATAATGAAATAACATAGAGGCCCGTCTCATGAAGTAGGTTTAAGTGGCTTCCCGGGTAAAGGCACAATATGTAATTTTCGCCGCTAGAGGGCGCGTATTCAAAATAAACAAATAGACAAAGGCGTAGTTTGATGACGCTGTGACTGAGTGTGGAATCATGGGAGTTGTGGTCTTCATCCCCACAGCCGATGCAATCCGACGGGACTCGGGCAGAAATCATGTTCATGGATGAGCTGATGATTTATTAACGTAGTAGAACGAAGCAGGTTGAGGCTGAAAGCCGTCGAAGCGAAACGAGGCGCTGAACGAGCGTGACAAACGGCTGTAAAGCAGCGGGGCTTTTATTATGCCACAGCCGACCGCTTCCGCTGCTTCCGGTCGTGTGTATGTGGGGTAAAGCAGCGGAGCTTTTATTATGCCACAGTCGACCGCTTCCGCTCCTTCCGGTCGTGTGTATGTGGGGTAAAGCAGCGCTGTTTTATCATACTAGATACATTTGAAAGTTCTGTTATAATGCTACTCTGTGCGGTCGTCACCGGTCTATTAAAACACACAACATATTAAAGCGTCTTTGGTGTTTCCATGTTTTCTACAAAACAAAACCGAGGGGAAATCGAGGGGTTATGACGGCATTGGCAGGCGACACAATGACACTATAGACACGCTCCGTGTCACTAGTTAAAATTGCTTATTTCTCTGGATTCCAACATTCTTCGAAACATTTGGGATAGTGTAAGTACACAAGTCAGCAAAATATATAACACTGTCTGTTCTAGTGGTTTTTGGATATTTTAATAAAACAATCTTACATGTTGTGCCTTTAACTTTGCGTGTAGTTTGAGCATTAATTTTTCAGTCTCATGAAGGTAGATTGCTTTTTCCTGGTGTTCATCATCCCAGTTACGAATGCACATGGCTAAACATGGCAGGTTTTGTTCTGGGCAAGAGATTACAAAACAAAACTGGACCAATACGACCAATCATGTCCCTGATGCAATAAAGCCACACCCCCTGCGTATCATTCATCAAAACAGCACACTTCATAAAAACGTATTATATATCATATTATATTCTGACATTTAAGCTGCATAAAAATTGTATTATCGCTGATCTATTATTGGATTTCTTTGCAAGTTACATATTGAGAACAAGGACATATGAATAATCTAGTAAAGACTAGTGATCAGGATTAGTCTATAAATGCATAACCCATGTGCAATTACATTTTGATAATTTATTTTAAACTATATAGTAGCACGTTGATTGTAAACCCATTTCCGCCACGGGATAAAAAAAAATAAAAAGGTAATTGCAACTTTTTATCTCACAATTCTGACTTTTTTCTCAGAATTATTTGATTTAAACGTGCAATTGCAGGTTGCTCAGAATTGTGTGATATAAACTCGCAGTTGTGTGTTTCTATGTCAGAACTGCAATATATAAACTTGCAATTCTCACTTTATAACACGCAATTGCAAGTGAGATATTTAATTGTGAGAAATAAACTCCTAAGAAGATGTCAGAATTGTGACTTTTTTCCTTCAGAATCAAACTTTATAATTTGCAACTGCAAGTTTATATCTCACAATTCTGAGAAATGTCACGCAAATTGTAAGACAAGAGTTGTTTTTTATCCCGTGGTGGAAACAGGCTTTTCCAAAGTGATCCTGATCGGTTTAGCTTCATGAGACGGGCCTCATTTATGCAAAAGATTTGTTTCGAAGCTTCTTTTATTCTGCTCAAGCAATGACGGTTAAACAAAGCATCTTTGCTGTCAATGCAGTCAAATAAATTACGCACCAAGACCCTACGCAACACTCGCAACCCAACCTGGAATGAGACGCTGGTGTACCACGGGCTGACAGACGACGACATGCAGCGCAAGACCCTCAGGTTTCAGTCACACACATTGCTCTCCAGTACAGCTGCCGTGGTTATTTATTTTCTTATATGTGACCCCGGAGCACAAAACCAGTCTTAAAGGTCCCCTGAAATGCTTAGAAACACGCAGTGTTACTCTATGTGTTGACGTCATTTGAACTGAAACAGGAAGACAGGGCGGGACATATCAAGCAGCCCCGCCCCTTTTAAAATAGCTAATAGCCTTCGTTTATATCACAGCTTGGGCTAGAGCCGTTCTGAGCCATTGAGCTCCGTAAAGCCTCATTTGACAGAGTATACCAGCCACAATCTCATCCATATTGCTATAAAATATAGCATTCTGTGTAGAATTCAAATAGCTCCGATACATTTTGTGGTCTGCGCCGACTCGTGCATGTGATCCGCTCCGTGCTATCGTGTCTCTGGACCGGAGCAGAGTGTGTGTGCGGTGCGGTGGTTAGCGGGACACAGCGCCAAACCAGACTTCTTTTTTTCCTCAATGGAAAGCATATTTACACTGTTTGAATCGTTCCCTGTCTCCTATATAGTGCACTACGTGCCATTCACTGTACAGAAAATACTAATTCTGTGGACAAGTGACCGATCTCAGCCGCGGCTCCAGCGTCTATTTTATAGTGTAGGGGGCGGGGCTTCGGATTCTAGAGAGCATTTGATTGGACAGAAAGTTTGATGAGATGCTGAAGTACGACATGACGTCAAAAAAATCGTTGAGCCGTTTTGGCGGAAGTGACGAACTGCAAGCTTTGAATGCTTATATCTTCTAAATGCGAATTTTGTCACTGTTTTGGAGCACACTGCCTTATAGATAACCTTAAGACTAACATATTGATACTAACACCCAAAAAAACTTTAATTTTGATTTCATGGGGACTTTAAGTCGCTGGGGTATATTTGTAGGAATACAGCTTTCAGATGATGCATAAACCTCAAATTCGAAAAATTGACCCTTATGACTGGTTTTGTGCTCCAGGGTCACATATAAGTCACGCTCAAAAAAATATCTGTGTTAGCTCATTTTAATTAAGTTTTTAAAACAGTATAGGTTGACAACCTCTGTGATACTGGACTGAAATTAATGATTTGTTTCAGTGTGGGGGAAAGCATATACTTATATAGTTACTTTCTCATTTCTGAAGAGAAATATCCTGTAGATTCAGCTATTAGTGGAAAGGAAATTTGTGTTATGGTAAATATTAATTTTGTGCTTTGCAAGTGTTAATTTGGGACCCTGTGTGTATGTTTTAATACAGGTAAAATAAGTAAATGTAGTCTAATTGAATTCTTTCCCACCACAGTAAACCAAAAGCTCAATACTGGATGCATTGAGACTGAACTGAAGGCTTTATCTTATTGATCTTCATCATAACATTGTTCCCACAGCTAAAATATGATGGATTAAGTTGATAATATAACATTAGTGAAGCATATATGTTTAGGATTATTTACAAAGTATTATTTATTAATATTTGGAATTACAGTTTTTTTCCCTTTTAATATTCAGTTTTAATTTAGTTTATAGTTCTGTTTAACTTCAATTCAATTTTATTTCATAGTACTTACTTACACTTGTGTTATTTCAGTTAGTTACCAAGGCATTTCTCATTTTGTCTTATATTATATAATAATAATAATAATAATATATTTTATTTCAGCTTTATTTCAATTCCCGAAAACAATTGGAACAGCTTTAGTTTTAGTGAACAATAACAACACGTTCAGTTAATTAGCTAATCATAGATTAAAGAAAGTATTCAAGTGATATGTTTTATGCTGGACATTCGGTAATCACAAATTCATATTTAACCTTTTAAGGGATCTTGTTTGTGCAGAATATCGGTCTGTGATGAAGACAAGTTTGGTCACAATGAGTTCATCGGAGAAACCAGAGCTGCGCTGAAAAAACTCAAGTTCAATCAGAAGAAGAACTTTAACGTGTGTCTAGAGAGGGTTGTGCAGGTCAGTGTTTTATACACACATACGCCACACAGACATATTTACAAACATCACTGAATATATATTCCTTTCAGATATGTAAGTAAAAAATGTTGCCTCTCTTTCCTTAGACAAAACGATCATCAACTGCAGGCGGAGCGCGAGGAATCACTCTCTATGAGGACGAGGTAAACGTTTAAACTCATATTTATAAAGGTATACCAAAATATCACCTAACAAAATATTTGCATTCATATTAAGATTAATGTCACAGATTGGCACCTGTCTGCCATGGATGCATTATAATTTACATTATTCTATATAACTATACAGACTAATTACATACCCATGTGAAAAATAATTAAACTTAACGACCATTTTTAAAAGTATGCTAATTACAGAAATACTATACTTAAGTGTGAACTGATTGTAATGTTTTTGGACACTTAATTGCATGGTATTTGCAATTGTATTGAATGTAGTGTAGTTTAAATTTATATTAAATGCAATTAGGACTTAAGTACATCTTTATATGAAATTTCATAATTACTATCGTCTTTGAAATATGGTTAATGTACTGCTGAATGTACATTTATGATCAACTAAAATAGATTTGAAAGTCATTTCTAGTAATAACTGTATGTCAATTTAAATATATTTGTAATTAAACAAATTACAATTCATTAAATTTAAAATAGATTAACTTTAAATGTAATACTGAATAATATATTAGTTAAAATGATAAAGTAAGAGTACTTTACATGTGCTTTAGTATGTATTTAGTATGTTACTTATTTAAAGCACGACAGAAGCTTATGAAAACATGATTTAAAGTAAGACTTATTTTTGACATTGTTGCACTTTTTAAAAGTGCGCTTAAGTGTTAAGAAATACAGTCATGAAATTGTCTCTTTTTAAGTCACTTAAGTGGCCTTTTATTATTTTATCTACAAGTACAGTGTTTTTTTTCTTAAGATGTAGCTTTACGTTTCGAAGTACACAGCTAAGTGCACATTCAATACAATTAATTGCACTTCTTTTTCACAAGGGTATCATTAACAGAGGTTTCCAGATTAGTCCAGATGACACACAAACCCCAACCCAGAGTTTTTTTTACACTAGAGTTTTTTCATGTAGTGATTCCATTATTTTGTGCATCTTGTGTATTTTGGTGTTTATTGTTATGTGTATCAGCTGCAAATACAAGTAATAGCAAAATGAATTATCCTCCATGTGCTACTTATAGAATGATGTGCTTCTGCAATAAGTAAGCGCTCCTGTTCTCTCATTATCATCCACACTGCTTTGTTTGTGTGTGTGTGTGTGAGTAGACTGGGAAGGATGGATCTGAGCTGGAAGAGAGAGGACGGATCCTGATATCCCTCATGTACAGCAGTCAGCTGAGTCGTCTCATTGTAGGTGTTGTACGCTGTGTTCACTTAGCTGCAATGGATGCGAATGGGTATTCTGATCCTTTTGTCAAAATGTGAGTTTCTCTCTATCAACCTCGACATTTCATGTTTAGAAGAAACGCATATAATTTAAAGCAATAGCTCACACAACAATGAAAATGTTCTGAAAATGTGCTCACCTTCAAGGTCATGCAAGATTAGGATGAGTTTGTTTCTTCAACAGATTTGGAGAAATGTAGCACTGCATCAGTGTCTCAGCAATGGATGCTCTGCAGTGAATGGGTGCCGTCAGAATGAGAGCTGATAAAAACATCACAATAATCCACAAGTAATCCACACCACTCCAGTCCACCAGTTAACGTCTTGTGAAGAGAAAAGCTGTGTGTTTTTTGGAAAACAATCCAACGTTAAGACATTTTTAACTTCAAACCGTTGCTTCCGGCTAAAATTTGATCCAGAATATTGCTTCCTCCAGTGAAAAAGTCGTCTCGTCTGAGCCAGGAGAGAAATCTGCACAGATCAAGCACAAGCAAAAACAGTCCAAAACAGCTCTAAACAAATATGTGGCTGGATTCTGATGTGAGAGACAACAGGAGATGGATTTAATCACTGAAGGAAGCTTTATTATTGATTATGGACTCACATATTAGCCGGATGGAACCGGTAAGGTAAACGCAAATGATGTTAATGATAAATTTGTTTCTTACAAACATGCAGCTTTTGGCTTCTCAAGACATTAACTGATGAGTGGTGTGGATTACTTGTGGATTATTGTGATGTTTTTATCAGCTGTTTGGACTCTCATTCTGATGGCACCCATTCACTGCAGAGTGATGCAATGCTACATTTCGAGAAATCTGCACAGATCAAGCACAAGCAAAAACAGTCCAAAACAGCTCTAAACAAATATGTGGCTGGATTCTGATGTGAGAGACAACAGGAGATGGATTTAATCACTGAAGGAAGCTTTATTATTGATTATGGACTCACATGTTAGCCGGATGGAACCGGTAAGGTAAACGCAAATGATGTTAATGATAAATTTGTTTCTTACAAACATGCAGACAACAGGAGATGGAGACATTAACTGATGAGTGGTGTGGATTACTTGTGGATTATTGTGATGTTTTTATCAGCTGTTTGTACTCTCATTCTGACGGCACCCATTCACTGCAGAGCACCCATTGCTGAGCAAGTGATGCAATGCTACATTTCTCCAAACCTGATGTAGAAACAAACTTATTTACATCTTGGATGGCCTGAGTAAATTTTCAGCAAATTGTAATTTTTGGTGGAACTATTCCTTTAAGTCATTAACAAACAATATTAAACATTATATAATTCTTAATGAATCATTAGTTACTGTGATAGGACTCAGATAAGTATTATTTCTAGACTCAGTGAAATTAGATTTTTGTTTAAAAAATATATATATTTACAGTACAAACAAATTTTACATCTGTTCTAAAAAGAAAAACAAATGCTTAAAAATGTGATTGTATATTTCTATGAATGGATATAGATATCTGAAACCTGATATGGGGAAGAAAGCGAAGAACAAGACGCAGACCAAGAAGAAGACACTCAACCCAGAGTTTAATGAGGTATGTTTTACATTTGCAATGCTGACACATTTTTGTTTATTAATTTCTCAAACAGTTGTTTATTTGTAGATGTGTACACTCTGCATCTGAGTACAATGATCCCAAAAACATAAAAAATGAATACAAACAGTTTGACTGAACAAGAGTTGACCTGGTTAATTATACTAAACTACTAATTATTTAAGTTCAGGAGCAGGATCCCGGTCTCAGCTCACTTAATACATATGAGATGATATTACATATGCCTGATCTTCTAATTGTGATAATTCATCTTCGGGCTAATTTTATTAAAACCTCTGGAACTTTATAAGATCAAAGGTTGTAGCATGATTATTTTCATTATTTCTAGCGTTTGAACAAGCTTCACGTTTGTATTTTTCGATGCCAAGAGTTTTTAATGTAATGAGCAATTCATTTAAATGGTACATTTTACCTTCAAAGTGGGTTTGCTGCTTGAGGGCATAAATTATGTGAATGTGTGGTTAAATTAATGAAATATTAACTTAAAACTTCAAGGGTACTTAATTCTGTAAACGCCTGACATAAGAAAACTCAGAAAAATAGTTTATATATATATATATATATATTGAACAATGCATTGAACCTTTAGTCAAAATATATATATAAAAAATCAATAAAGAAAAGTTTGCATATGTGTTTTATGTTTTGTATAAGGCTTTTATGGCTTGATATAGCGAGCATATGAAGCTCATACTCGAATTTCAAATTTCAGCACTTTCAAAATGTGTGATTAATCATATATTAATCTACTGACAGCACTAGCAAATATACAGTATATCTTCATGTTTAAAATAGTGACCCAAATTGAATTGGCTCTTTCATTAAAAAAGGAGAAGCATTCTGCTGTAAATGAGCGTGCAACACCAATGCAATGCTGACGTTTCTTTCCACTTGAATCTCTTTCCTGTAGGTGTATTTAAATAATCTGGTCCAACAGTGAAGCCTTGTTATTCTGCTTGGATCTTTTGCTTTTGCTCTTGCTTTGCCATTTGAACTATTGTTTTGCAGGAATTCAGCTATGAAATTAAGCATGCAGAGCTGGCCAAAAAGACTCTTGACATCTCAGTATGGGACTATGACATAGGCAAATGCAATGACTATATAGGTATTTACTTTTATTGTCTTATATATTGTGTCATTTTATCCAGTTTTTCTGAATCCATGTTTAAGCCTGATATTATCATCTCGGCTGATCTGATCAGAATTGTCACCCTGCAGCACAAAAGCAGTCTTAAGTCGCTGGGGTATATTTGTAGCAATAGCCAACAATACATTGTATGGGTCAACATTATAGATTTTTCTTTTATGCCAAAAATCATTAGGATATTAAGTAAAGATCATGTTCCATGAAGATATTTAGTAAATTTCCTACTGTAAATATATCAACACTTAGTTTTTGATTAGTAATATGCATTGCTAAGAACTTCATCTGGACAACTTTAAAGGCGATTTTCTCAATATTTAGATTTTTTTTTTGCACCCTCAGATTCCAGATTTTCAAATAGTTGCATCTCTGCTAAATATTGTCCGATCCTAACAAACCATACATCAATGGAAAGCTATTTATTCAGCTTTCAGATGATGTATAAATCTCAATTTTGAAAAATTGACACTTATGACTGGTTTTGTGGTCCAGGGTCACAATTGATCAGGTGAGACAGACTGCTGTTTACATCTGGTATTGAGATGTCTTGTGCAACTTTTCCTAATATGTAATTTTTTGCAGCTTTTACACTACAAATGCAATATAGAGTGCTGCAGTGATGACGTATTTTTGCAGGCCAGATACAGTTCGCATCACCCTGATTCCTTTGATAAAAACTCAATAGCATTTTCCCACTGGCTTTTTCAAATATTGCATAAAATAAGCTCTGTGACCCACAGAAGTGTATGATTTGTGTTTTGTTTATCCCGATAATCTTCACAAATGAACACAATGTTGATGCCGCGGTCGCATGACTTCAGCTTCACCACCATTAAGCTTCCAACAACTCTTTCAGTCCATTTCCCCTGAATGTTTGAGTTAGAATAGTTTGCAAGAGTGTGATTATAAACACATCGAGGCTGTAAAAGCGACTAGTGAGTAGATGAGTTTACTTGTTCGGTGTGATCATGTTTAATGTCCCACGACAACTTCTGTAGTCCCATTTAGACAGTCCTTTTTTAACACACATAAAAGCTTTAAAAGAAATCACGAGGGGGTTTACGGACACATTTTATGTTGTAGAATAGAACGTGCAAATATCCTGAGCTTGTGTTAAACAGACCTTATTTCAGGCATTTAACCAAAAACCCATTCAAAAAAACGTTGACTTCAGGACGATGGAAACAGAAGTGCTAAAATGCCAGCCTGATCTCACGGCAATTCGTACATATTTTAAGAGGTGGCTAATTCGTTCGACCTCACTCGATTTGTGCTAAATCGTACGTATTTTACGAGTTGCACAATTCGTATGAATTTGACCTACACTTAACCCTGCCCCTAAACCTACCCGTCACTGGGGTCTAGACAAATCGTACAAAATTGTACGAATTAGCCACCTTGTAAAATACGTACGAATTGGTCGTGAGATAGCGTTGAAAATGCTCGCTCTGGGTTTTTCCCTACAAAAATACTTCATCCCAGCAGCTCTCTATAGTCACTTTATTTCTAGTCAAAATCTGCTAGGGGTTAATTAAATGAAACAAATCGTGTAAAAATGGCTCATCTTTTCTTGGAAAATTAAATAAAATTTGATCAAACTTTTAAACAACTGATAAGATAGTAATCTACATTTGATAAAAAGTAATTTTCAGCGAGTGAACAACAAATTTATTCTCATGTGCGTGATGTATTAGGTACGTTACGGTCTCTGACAGACAGTAGCGCTGTCAAAAAATTTTTGCATTTCGAATATTCGTCGAATTTAAAATAAAAATCCACATTCGAATGCAAAAACGTTGCATTCGAATTTTAGGTGTGCGTCAGGCAGCCTTATCAGTGGCACACGAAATGCGACGACGATGTAAGTGTC